GAAGTGAAATAAATTGCATGCAAAAATTTTAAAATATCCTTCATACAGCAATATTTTTTTTCTCAAGCGTTTTAATAAAATTTTTCACCAACAGAAAACCCTTGCTCTGTCCCAAGCAGACTTTCCCAATGGAACCAGCAGAGAGAACAATCAGAATACAGGATGGGATATGTACGACCGCTTAGACCAGACAGTCCCTATTGAACCGCCAGCCAACTTCAGGGAGAGCGAAACGGATGATGATATGGATGATAGCCAAACGAAAAGGTTCAGAAGAGGCAGTGAAAATGACAGCGGAAATATCACCTTTGTACCCCGTGGCAAGGGCAAGTTTCCTGTCTACTCTCAAATAAATGAATTTAAGTTTAGTCAAGGGGAGTTTTACGATGACGGTGATGAGTTTGAGGCATAATTTAATCAGCTTCATTCAATAATGAAGGTGAATTTATTAAAATGTATCCTATTTATTTTAATGATCAAACTATACAGGAGGAAAAGTGAAATGGCGTTTAACTTTAAGCCTCTTGAGAAGGAGCATTTTGGTACTTTCAGCGCCAAGAAGACTGGACCCTCGTCACATGGCCTGCTCTTACTTTTTAAAAAAAAATATTTTTTAAAATAAGCTAATGACTTTACAAATATAAAACTAGATATATTTTGGTAGGGAATTGAATGAACTAAAATGATCTTTATGAATCCCAACATTTATGCAAATGAGATATCCTGATTTGCATAATTTTTGCATGCAATTTTTTTTTTTAAACAAAATACACATGTCTTACTTGCAGAGAATTTTGTTGAATGTTCTGATTGTTGAACCCTAAATAAGCCCTAAAAAAACTTTAAATGAGATTCATTGTGAAAAACTGCATAAAATATTCAACGTGGGGGTGGTGCTTATGCCTTTTGAAATATGTCAAGGTCACATATTGTTTTAAAGCATTTAAAGGGGTCGCTAGGTAAAAAAAAAAAAAAAAAAAAATTGGCAAGAAATGCTAGAGGCAGTCTGAAAGATCAGCCAGCGGGCCAATGGATCGACCATTCCTCTTTTTGCCATTAGGCTCTGGGCCAATAGATCGGCCCGGTCGTTCTATTGGCCCTGTCATCTCAAGGGGGTTAAGCATTTTTTGTGTGTATTAAACAATGTATAACAAAGTTATTGTTAATAAATTATTATTTTACATTCCATTTATTCACATATATTATATTCTAATTTTTGTGTATAATATCCCATCCAAATGGGAAACTATTTATACATATTTATAGTCCTCTGCTTTTTATACAAATTCATTTTCAGTAGGGAAGTTTATCAATATTACGTAACTTATATTTCAATTTTATCCAAAGAATTATATTTTAATTGCAGGAAAAATTGTAGATATTTTAACTCATTAAAATGTTTTTATTTTCCTATCTATTATTGTTAAAAGCGTAATTTCTTGCTCTGAATAACAAATCATAAATTATTTTATTCATATTTATTTAGATTTTAAAATAACATCTTTAAGTAAATGTTATGGTTATTATATATTAAAACATTATAACCAGTGATTATTTCAGAAATTTTCCCGG